AGTGATAAGGGGCTTAAATTGTACATTAGCCTCACATAAAAAACAGTCTCATAAATATTATTCCTATATCTTTTTGTCTAAAATACCTATCATAATATGATTTTCATTAATTACATCCATTATACTCTAATTTCATCAATATTGCACATTGACACTGGATTTGAACAAATATATCACATTAGCCCTATTTTCATAATTCTTTTGAATTTTATGTTCCGGACAGATTCCGGCGTTGATTTCTTCTTTTAAAACTTATTTTTTTCTCTTTAAATTACTGTGTTAAAAACAAAATTATTGTTTGAGACAGTAATATTGAATACCAAAAAAATAATATTACTAATATTATAGATAAAAGAAAAGATACTTCATTGTTTTTTTTTCCTTAATATATACTTCATCTTTACAACTTCTGCTTGACACAAGTTTAGTGTTTTTATGTTTGTATCTCCATCCTCAACAATTTTTCTTAAGTAGGGTTGAGTTTCAATTTATAATTACTTTGTTGCTGACTGACTGCATGGAAGGAATTTCTTTCAAAATTACTATAGCCACTGTTATTATTATCCTTATATATATATATTCTCCTATTTGGTTGTTTCATCTTCACTAATCTATTTTTTCTTTAATTTGTGAATTCGTTCGTAATGTTTTTGTTGCTATTTAAGATATACTATTTTTTGCTACACAATATAATATATGTAAACTATTATTGTATTAATAATGTACAATACTCTTCTTTTAGTCTCTTGGTTTTTTTTTCCAATATATTATTTGGCCTTTTCAGTTGCAACCCGTGCAATTCACGTGGCACGGTTACTAGTTAAACTAAATACAAGAAATTTCAACCCTCTTGATTATTATTATGAAAATCCTATGCCCAAGGATTTCACTTTACAAAATTATTTAATTTTGAAATACAACTGCTATAGGACTTCTAACAGAGTATTCGGCTGTATGCCATCTAATAAATCCTTGAGTACTACTATTCATCACCCCTTTGTTTGTTCTGGTGAACGTCACACTATAGCTCGATTTATCGCCCAACTTCGGAAACACGAGTTTCTTAGGTTCCACTTTCACATTAACACCATCGGGCGAACCAATCTCGACATCATATGATGAATTAGCCTTGCCAACATTCGTCAATGTTCTGGTATAAGTTTGAGGACTTGATCCAAATATTATCGAAAATGATGGATAGTTCAATTGAGCCTCAGGAATGGTCTTCTCTTTCGAGCAATCCACCTTACGTGCAACAATAATGCCGACTTCTTGGTTCGTGTAATTCAAGCCACACAAATAAGGGATATAATCATCAGGCATGATATCGTAAACCAATCCCGGATCATTTGCCCGTGAAGGATTAACATGGCCCGAACCAATAGCAAATACATTGGCGGGCTGCAATTGTTCATCCTCTATTGGATTGCCTTGGAGGTTCACTGAATCGGCCGTGGTCATAATTGCGGACTTGATGGCGGCTGGCGACCAATCAGGATGCACGCTTTTGAGCAATGCTGCAACACCACTGAGATGCGGGCACGACATTGATGTACCCGAGATCATGTTGAATGTCGGAGACTTTGTGTCGGTTTTACTATTGTCGACAGAAGCGGGCCAAGATGAAAGTATGTTAACTCCAGGACCGATAATATCGGGCTTCAAAATTCCAGGGCTCGGTACACTAGGACCCCTTGAGGAAAATGTAGCAACTACTGGAGCTCGATTGTTACCGATAATAGTTCCTTGAAACGACATTGTGGCTGTGGGATTCGAAGTTGAGTTTAGGTATGCTTTTAACTTAAGGCTATCGGCATAAGTGATTTGCATCGCCGGAAGGACGTGTGGCTCTTCGAAAGTTGTGTCCCCATCAAATTTATTGTTTAGTAGAATCATAGCGGCGCCACCCGCACCTTTGACAGTTATTCCTTGTTGGACTCGAGTTACTAAGTACTTCATACCTTCGCACACAACTATCTTTCCTTTAATATCGGTGTTGAAATGGCCGTCAAAACAACGTGACATTCCGGTATCATTTGATCGAGGGTAAACGAGGTCTAACTTTTCGATGGAGGGGAAACCGGTACCCGTTTCGCCCTCTAATTCCTCCCCGTTTCCGAGGACTGCGTTGACCGTTATCTTCCGGTCAGTAGTGCTGGCCCCAACAGTCATGATCCACGGGGCCTCGTTATACAGAGTCTTGTTTTTTGGGCCGTCGTTTCCGGCGGAACAACTGACGACAATTCCCCTCTCCATGGCCCGGAAAGTTCCGATGGCCATAATATCATCGGCGAAATGTAAGTGCAATGCACCGCCGAGGGACATCGAGAGCACGTCGACGCCGTCCTCGATGGCGGCATCAATGGCGGCGGCTATACCACTGCTGCCGCAGTGGGAGCCCGTGCACGGTTGGTATATCGCCACGTGAGCGAGCGGCGCGGTTCCGGAGGCCGTGCCGCGGGCGTTGCCGTAGAAATCGGCACCACCGACGAAATTTCCGGCGGCTATTCCGGAGGTGTGTGTGCCGTGGCCGATTTGGTCGATCAGTGGTGTCACAAACAACGGAGGACTGCGGTAAAAGTACCTAGCTCCGATCAGCTTGTTGTTGCAGGTCCATCGGGGGGAAGTGAACTCGCATTTGCCCTTCCATTTCGCAGGCGGCGGCGGCACCCCTTGATCGTTCAAAGAGGGGTGGTCCGGCGTGATTCCGGTGTCCACCAAACCGATGATAATTCCCTTGCCGTACGACGAGTTTTTCCATAGGCCCGTGTTTTGGTTCAACCCCAAGAAATTGGGAGAATGAGTGGTGTGCAGATGCATCATCCTTTCGGGCCGGGCTGAGATGAAACCCTTCTTCTTCCGCATTTCATCGACATGTGCGGCCGATAATTTGGCGGCGAAGCCCGAGAACACGTGGCGGTATCGGTACAATATTCTCGGCTGATCCTCACTGTTTGAGGTTACGTTAGAAGTCGTCGGCAAGAATGAATTGTAAAACGTTTCGAGATCGTCGGATTGTGTCGGTTCAACATGGACTATGTATACACCAAGATTTTCTGCTTTGAGAAATTGATTAAAATTGAGAATGCAAATGATAAATAGAAATGAAGTGAACCCCATATTGAAGATCATATATATGTATTTTGATGGTGATGAAAAAATGGGAGATGGTTGGATTAGTTTATATAGTTGCCATTAGCAAAGTTTTTAAATTGAATTGGACGGTCAAACTTACATACAAGGATATAAATTTCTACGGTCAAACTTGAAATTCTATTACGGTTACAGAGATTTTTGTTTCTAATTCTATTGACTTCTTGAAATTAATTATATATATATATCACCATAACTCGTTTGCCTTACATGTAATATATGAATGAATTATTTGATTTTGAATACAAAGCTTATGATTTCTATGATTACGGATTTTACGTTTATTATTTATAATAAGTAAGTAGATTCATTAATATTATATGCCCCGCAATAATCAAAAGAATCTAGATGGTTTCGTCAAAATAAATTCGTGTTTTGACTAAACAGTTACCGGGAATTGGGTTGTTATTGGGTGAATTGCGGTTTGCACCCGGGTGAATATTCATAATTTGACAAAGTTCACCCTCAAATTATGAGTATTCTTTTATTAGAATTATATTTGATCACACCAAAGAAAACTTTCATTTCAAAATGCTATTAAAAGATGAAATTGTCATAATTAACCTTAAAATTTCGAGGGTACATAGTGCACTAATTTTTTTTGGGATGCGAACTGCGAAAATGCTACATTATGTGGGTGCAAAGTGGAAATAAGACAAATATTTAATATAATTTATGTTATTATATTTTTAAATAGTATTAATTTTCTAATATAATTTATCTATAAAAAATATATTATAAAAATATTATTTGATTATTAGTAATTAATTAATTCAATTTTAATTTATTCTGCCATTGTGAACCAAAAGATCAACTGCAGCCGTGGATCGGAATACGCGGGTGTGCCGGAAGCACAGCTGAAGTATCCGTCGTTTTCCGTTATTCTTGGACATACTTGCCACGTGTATTCACGGACAACGACGAATGTTGGGGAGGCGAAATCGACTTACTATGTTTCAGGGATGAATGTAACTGTCGAGCCTACAATACTTAGCTACTGGGATCTATTATTGCCTGAATTTCGACTAAGCATATCGTTAGAATCCCGGTTTCCGTGAAATTGGTTCCGTGAGTTTGAATTACAATTTACAAATGTCTTATTCGCAACAGCAGAATATTATTGTTCTGTAGAGTTAATTCATACTCCCTCCGTTCCAAAATATGTGTCGCTTTGGGTTGTTGCACACATATTAAGAAAATTAATAAATGTGTGTCGATTTTATAGAAAAGTATATAGAATGACTAAAATATCCATGTTATTAATGTTGTTTAATTCTCAGTTAATTAATGAATAGTAATAGGGGTAAAATTGAGAAAGTAGTAATTAATGCTTCATTGAAATTCTAAAGAGACAGATAATTTGAAACAAGAAAAATCTCTCAAAGTGACAGTTAATTTGAAACGGATGAAGTATAAATTAATTACTTCCCTGCAAATTTAAAAAATTCTAATTACCAAACTCAAATTTTATTACAAAATTACAAATAACAAGCAAACAAAACGAAGAAACCTGACTTCAATTTAATTCTCAAAGACTATATCATCCAATTACAACAGCTATTGGACTCCTAACAGAATATTTACCAGAATGCCACGTCACAAATCCCTGAACGTAATCATCGGTCGTCAACGTTCCACCGTCCGATCGGGTAAACGTAACTTTATAGCTCAATGCCTGACCCAATTTCGTAAAATCGAGTTTAACCGGTTCAACAACAACGGTAACTCCTTCCGGAGAACCGATTTCGACATTATATGACGACTCGCACTCGCCGACATTCGTAACCGTCCTCGTGTAAGTCTGAGGCGTCGATCCGAGAACAATCGAAAACGACGGATAATTCAATTGCGATTCGGCGATCCTCGATTCCTTCGAGCAATCCACTTTCCGCTGAGCGATAACACCGACTTGACTCTCGGTGAAATTCATTCCGCACAAATACGAAACATACTCATGCGGCTGAATATCGTAAACCAAACCCGGATCGTTCGCGCGCGACGGGTTAACATGGCCCGCACCGATAGCAAACACGTCGGCCGGTTTAAGAGCTTCCGTCTCGATTGGATTTCCGCCGAGGTTGACTTGATCGGCCGTGGTCATAATGGCGGACTTTATGACAGCTGGCGACCAATCAGGATGCGCGCTTTTCAGCAATGCTGCAACACCACTGAGATGCGGGCACGACATTGACGTACCCGAAACCATGTTGAATGTGGACTTCGTGTCGGTTTTATTCTCGACAGAAACGGGCCAAGCGGCAAGTATGTTAACACCTGGCCCAATAATATCGGGCTTCAAAATTCCCGGGCTCAACAAGCTAGGCCCCCGGGAGGAAAATGCAGCAACTACCGGAGCACGATCGTCGCCTATAACAGTTCCTTTAAATACAATTGTGGCTATAGGATTGGGATTCGAACTTACATAGGCTTTTATTTTGAGGGCGTCTCCGTAATTAACGTGGATCGCGGGGAGAACGTGGGCTTCGGCTCTCGTGGTGTCGCCTTGCGCTTCTTGATTCATTAGAATCATGGCAGCACCACCGGCATTCTTTACGGCTTTTCCTTTGTCGACTCGCGTGCCCGTTCCGCCTATTTCGCAAAGAACAATCTTCCCTCTAACGACGTTTTCGTCCAATGCGCCCTCACCGCAGTACAAAGACATATTTGAAATTTGACCGGGAAAAACGAGGCCTAACTTTGTGGCGGAGGGGAAATCGTTCGGCTGGAAAGCCGTTTCGCCGTCGTATTCCTCGTTGTTTCCGAGGACAGCTGTCGCTTTTATCTTCCGATCGATCGTGCTAGCGCCTACGGTGAGAATCCAAGGCGCTTCATTGGATAACGACACGAGCGCGGGACCGTTGTTTCCCGCGGAACAGCTGACTAGAATTCCCTTCTCCATTGCCCTGAAAGCGCCGATGGCGATATTGTCCTTATCGAAAGCGGTAGGAGTACCTCCTCCAAGGGAGATCGAAATTACGTCCACGCCATCTTCGATGGCTGCGTCCATTCCAGCCATGATGTCACTCTCAGAGCAGCCGGACGGGCTGCAAACTCTGTACATGGCCACGTGCGCGAGCGGGGCCATGCCGGCGGCGGTGCCGGCTGCGTTACCGTAGATGTTCGCACCGCCGACGAAACTTCCGGCAGCGGTGGCGGCCGTGTGCGTGCCGTGGCCTTCTTCGTCGAACGGGGTGGTCGCGTTTCCGTTCGTGAAGTACTTCGCGCCGATGAGCTTGTTGTTGCACGCGTTCTTGGAACCGAACTGGCATTCGCCTCTCCATTTGGGAGGCGGCGGCGGCATGCCTTCGTCGGAGAACGACGGGTGGTCCGGCGAGATTCCGCTGTCCAATAGGCCGACGATCACGCCCTTTCCGTAATTCGAATCTTTCCAGAAACCCGAGTTTTGGATCAACCCCAAGAAGTTGGGGGTGTGCGTTGTGTGTAGAGGAAACACCTTTTCGGGCCGGGCCGATACGAAACCCTCCATCTGCCGCATTGCTTCCACGTCAGCAATTGATAGTTTCGCGGCGAAACCCGAAAACACATTCCGGTAGCGGTGCAATATCCTCGGCTGGTTATTATTACTATTGGCTGCTAGATTCGTAGTCGTCGGCATGAATGAATCGTACGAGGTTTCGAGATTGTCGGATTGTGCAGGATCAACATGGACTATGTATACATCAAGATTTTCTGCTTTGAGAAATTGAATGAAATTGAGTATGCAAATGATACATAGAAATGAAGTGAAGCCCATATTTGCTGGAAATGAATTATTTTGGTGGTGATGAAAAGGTTATATATATAAAAGGTTTGTGTGATTTTATTAAGGTATTTTCCGTACTTGGAATATATGAATCGTTACGTTTTTAATACACACGTTATGATTTTTATTATTACAGGATTTTGTACCTTTGAATTTGTAATCAATATTGTATTTTGAACCGTACATGATTGAAATCATTATGAAGGCAATATTGAATATTGTAGTAAAATAAAATGAATATTCCTTGATTTATGCGAATTTGCGTTGCGATTGTCATATGTTTCCTTTCTTGTATCAATTTTCAATTTATATTATTATTATTATTATTATTGTTATATTTTGCTTGTTAATTGTTATTACTTATTATAACTGATGATTATTGGATGACCAATCATTGATATTCATTCCAAATGAGGTTTGTATACCAATAAGTTACTCTATCTGTCCCATATTATTTGTCTTTTTACATAGTTTTTTCTTGTTCCAAAATAATTTGTCATTTTATATTTTCAGTGAATTGCATCATTGTTAATTACTTAATTTTATCCTTTATCACTCCTAATCAGTGTTCTAAAAATCGGCCGAGGCGGCCGATTAATCGGTCGCCGAGGCGAAGACAGTCCAAAACCTTTACGATTTTAGTGTAAAGGTTTGAAAAATCGTTTTTTTGCCTGTGAGGCGGTTTGGGGCGGTTTGAGGCGGTCCGAGGCGGTCAAACCTTTAAGGCGGGTCAAAGTTCGGTAGCAAACATCGGCAAAAAATCGGTCTAAAATCGTTTTTTTTTTTTTTATAAATCAAAATAAAAGTAGGGATTTTAATAAAAAAATATGAGTTTATATTTGAATTTATTTATGTTAATTATTATTGTTAAAAAACTATTAGAGTATGCCAAGAATGTATGTAAATTAAAAAAAATGCCTTTTTACTTATATTTTATAAGGATATTTATGTATTATGATCTTATTATTATTAAACTTTTATTATGTTATTAGAATATATACATGATGGAGATATAACTATGTTTAAATATTTTTTATCTATGTTTCGAGTATTTATAAATAATATCTACAAATATATTATATTAAATTTTAAAAACTGATTTATTTCTGATTTATCACGATTAATCATAGCCGCACCGATTAATCGTGAGTCGGTCCCTGACCGCCTCCGACCCGATTACCGTTTTTTACAACCTTGCTCCAAATTAATTAGTTGAGAAAAAAATAACATCAAAGATATTTTAGTGATTTTTATGTTTTTTTTTATTATAATCTATGCACATTTTATTAATTTTCTTAATATATGTGTAATAATCCTAAACGACCTTTAAATTCGGACGGAGGGAATATTTACTACTACAATTTTGAATTTGAATTTGGTGTAAACTTTGAAATAAATAAATATAAAATGCCTTCTATTTGAACCGAATCGGATTAAACCTCTATAAACCAATAAATTACTTGAAATTCACAAAATTATATTAATTTAGTGGGCGATGTACAATCCAACATTAATATTGCCTGGATTTGAAGCCCATCTTACGTTACAATCTTGTAACGTGCCCATGTATTTGTGCTATTAGCTCTGTTCTCTTTCCTCAAACCTAACTCTAATCATGTTGTTTTTTTCTCACAAACGCGGATCACCGCCGGCATGCAACCTCCGGACGGCGGTCCGGCGAAAGCTAAGGACTCCATAGGGTCCTCTCACAATGGCACGTTTGCCCAACGTCCCGTTTTAGTAGATAAGTTCATAAGTAAAAGACTAAAACCTCTTCACATTTACTATACTCAATTTTCATCAATTTAACCTCAATTTTACCTTAATTCTAGGACGAGGGAGTTCGGTGAACTCATCAAGTATGAACATTCACTTATGTATGCCAATATCACTACATTGTAGTAGATGAGACTCAACTCACATATACTCAATGTTAGTCTCAAACGGGAAATGCCGCTATCCTAATTATTGGCGTAACCCATCGACTAGAAACTTGTTTAGTAGTTATCTTACAAAATTAATTATCTCATGATTCTCCTAGATCAATTCATAGTAATTTAATAATAACTATATGGTCTATATCAATGCATAATAAAATGCGAAATGGATATAGCCTGGCAAAAATAGAATTTCATTAATGACGAAAATAGATTGTTTACAAGTAAATATGCAAATACCAGTCCACAGCCACAAGTTGGCTTATTGGTCACCTACTCTAACATTTTTTTTCCTTCTCTTCGCCCCTCTTCTATATTTATCCCTTCGAATTGGTGGAAAACGTGTTTATATATTATGGTATAGTTATAAAGAAGATAAATCGAACAATCGAACCAACAATTTTACGTAATAGTGTTTGGGAAATTTTGACCGAAATGCAGTAGGGTAAAAGGGACGCCGCAATTGATGTGACCGAAACCCAAAAACCGAAGGCCTACTAATTCGACTAAGTATTGTAACTTCCTCAGCAATAGATGATTTGCTTCAAATAAACAGACCTTATATTTCCAAACACCTAAACTTATAAAAACTAAAAATAACTCATAAGCTACATATCCAAACATCTTAGAAAATAATTTTTAAAATAAGATTTAACAGCTTATCAGCTCCTAAAACATCTTATCATGTAGGAGTTTATAAGATGTTTTAAATAAACTTATTCAAAGGGGCCCTAAGCTAGATTGACCACTGATCCGAAGATTAAAAAATGATATGATTAAAGATCAAAATCATGAACTCAGTTATACGGGGAAACAGAAAAGAAGAAGATACAATATAGGGACGATTTCATAATTATCCGATGTTTGGATAACATAGTTTTTTCTTTCTTTTTTTAATCTTTTTATATTTTTTTTTAGAAAAATTAATGTGTGATATTAATGTGTAATGATAGTTGAAGATAGTGAGTGACGGCCGAGAAGAGAAAAAAAATAAGTTAAAAATTATTAAGCCACTCTCATGTTGGAAACAGTCAAAGAATTGACTTCATTCGCATACTTTTATTTTCTTCCACAATTTTGTATTAAACAATTATTATATTGAACATTAATTAATTTCCATTCCTATGATTCACATTGAATCACTCCACAAAACCGACAATAGGACTTCTAACCGTGTGCTTAGCAGAAGTCCACGTAAGAAATCCTTGTACATACACATTAACTATTGTTGCATTGCCAGATGATCTAGTAAAAGTCGTTTGGTAAGTCAACGTTTGGTTGATCGCTGAAAATTGGAGAGTTGTGGGCTCCACCCTGACGTCGACGAGCGGTAACGCGGCTCGAACGGTGTAGACCGAGTTCGCCTCGCCGACATTCGTAACCGTCCTGTTATACGTTGTGGAAGTGTTTCCGATAACAACGGAAAACGAAGGATAGTTCAACTCCGCTTCGGGTATGCTCGAAATCTCCGCGCACCTAACGACACGGTTCACGATTACCGCCACCTGTTGGTCCGTGTAGTTCAATCCGCAAAGGTACGGCACGTAATCCTGCGGGCCCATGTCGTAAACGAGCCCTGGATCGGTTGCCTTGAGTATATTGACGTGACCGGAGCCAATGGCGAAAACATCGGCTCGGCTTTGTGTTTGATCCTCGATCGGGTTGCCGGCGAGGTTGACTAGGTCGGCGGTGGTCATTATGGCGGACTTTATTGCGGCCGGCGACCAATCAGGGTGCACGCTCTTCAGAAGTGCCGCGACTCCACTGAGATGGGGGCACGACATTGAGGTTCCGGATATGATGTTGAAGTTGGAATTCGTGCCGGTGTTGTTTTCGACCGAGACGTGCCACGCGGCAAGAATGTTGTGGCCCGGCCCGATAATGTCGGGCTTCAAGATGCCGGGGCTCGGCGGGTTCGGGCCCCGTGCGGAAAACGCCGCGACCTGCGGGGCGCGGTCGTCGCCGATTACGGTCCCTTTGAACGAAATCGTGGCCGTCGGCGACGCCGTTGAGTTTAGATAGGCCTTGACTCTCAACCCGTCGGTGTAGCTGAGATGTGTGGCCGGGAGAACGTGGGAATCGGAGTTTGTGGTGAAGCCTTGACGTTGTTGGTTGACGATTACCATGGCGGCACCACCGGCGGCTCTGACGGCCCGGCCTTTCGCGATTCGTCCGATCCCTCCTCCGTTATCGCACAAAACGATCATCCCCTGAAGATCGAGGCTTCTCAAAGACGCGGGCGAGCAAAATGAGTCGTTCGGGCTGTAAAAAAGAGGCAAGAGAGTCGTCGGAAAATCGGAAGGCTGAAATGTCGATTCTCCGTCTAACTCTTCGTTGTTACCGAGGACTGCGGTCGCCCGGATTTTCCGGTCGACCGAGCTAGCCCCAACGGTGAGAATCCACGGAGCACCATTTTGGGCAGTACCATAAAATGGGCCATTGTTTCCGGCCGAGGCGCTCACAAATATACCTCTTTCGATTGCACTAAAAGCCCCCACCGCAATGTTCTCACCAAAAAAATCTTGAGCGGGCCCACCGAGTGATAGAGAAATGATATCGACGCCGTCGTCGATTGCAGCATCCATCGCAGCCACTATATCGCTCTCCTCGCAAGTAGTAGTACAAACCTTATAGGTAGCTACATGAGCGAGAGGTGCGACCCCAGCCGCAGTTCCGTTCGCATTGCCGAACACGTTGGCGCCCGGCACGAAATTCCCGGCTGCGGTGCTGGCGGTGTGGGTCCCGTGCCCGTCCTCATCAGACGGGGTCCCGTCGCCTATCGTGAAGAATCTAGCACCGATGAGCTTGTTGTTGCACCGCGCAATGGTGGAGTTGAACTCGCACCGCCCCCTCCACCTAGCAGGGGGCGGGGGCATCCCATCGTCGTTGAACGATGGGTGGTTAGGGTTCACACCGGAGTCCAATACTCCGATGATCATGCCTCTACCGTAATTCGAATCCCTCCAAAATCCGGTGTTTTGATTCAAGCCCAAGAAGTTGGGTGAATGGGTTGTGTGGAGGGAGAGTGTCTTCTGAGGCCGAGCCGAGATGAAACCGGGCTTTTTCTCCATTGCTTTAACTTGCTCGGGCGATAATCGGGCCGAAAAGCCATGGAAAACGTTATGGTAGGAGTAGATTATGCTCGGCTCATCGGTCGACGGCGACGAGGCTGATAAAGTGGACGCTAGAAATGTTTGGTAATAGGCTTGCAAGTCTTCCGTAAGAAGACTACTAGTGGTTAGAGTTGGGAATGAAGGCAACTCAACATGTACAATATATGTTTGTAAATTGCTATCTTTTGATCTTACAAAAATTGTATTGAAACATAGTACACACGTTAGTGTGAGAAACAACGTGTAGTAACCCATGATTGAAGATTAATGAAAGGATTTGTTGTGTGAGAGAAAAAGAGAATGATATAAGCATATATATATATAATTAATGGTCCACGCGGTATAGTCTACTCACTTTAATTAAATAATAGAGTAAGGGGGCCAAGGGGGCCAAGTTGACTGGGACTATTTTGTCTAGATGTCAAATTTATTGGTTCTTGATTGAACTAGCTAGCTAGAAAATTGTAGAATGGGTCAATTTCAAAATTAAATTAAATGGAAATGTCGCAAGTAATAGACTATTTGAATTTTCAAGGAAATAGAAAAAAGAATAAAAAAACAAAAGGAGAAAAAATGAAAAGAAAAAAGACATTGATAGTGTAAATAGGAAAGAGGAAAGAAAGAGATTGAAGTGAAGACCAAGACCATGTCATGTGCAGGATTATTCCGTGTTTTTCACTGGGTGTAGCATTCGATACAGCATCGAGTCCTAAAGATGTTATACTTGTTGAAATACACCATTAATCTACACATAATAACACATACACATACACACATACACACTCATGTATGTGTGTATTGAATGTATAGTTATTTGTATAGATTTATGGTGCAGGATCACCCGATGCTTTTCTACACCAGATGTAGTATCTTATAGACCGAGCGTCAATTTGATCTTCCAAAACTAAATAAAAATCTAGAAATATTCACTCGGTATAAATAACTAGTCAGTTACAAATAAATATTACTTTATTCCCTAAACAACTATCTCATGATATATATATTTTTATCCTATACATCCAACCATGCATGACACTTCAAGTGTCACACTTGACAGCTAGAATAATAATTGTTTCTTCTAATAGACAAACAAATATAATTAATTATATTTCTTTTGGTGCCTATACAATACGAGCACGGAGAGGAAAGAGGATTCCAACATGGATAATTTATAGGGATTTTATATGTTTTTTTCGTAAGACATTTTTATGAACAATGACGCAGAACGGAAGCACGGTAAAAATTAATTTTTACAAATTAATCCTATAGAACACGATAACTTTGGAATTCACCAGATAATTGAGAAAAAACACAGAAAATTTATTACTAATTAAAGATGTTGAAAAATAAACCCTAAATCAACTATTTATACTAAAGAAAACGAAAAAAAATCTAATCAAACTAGGAAAACGAGAAAATTACCAAAAAAAGCAAAAAAACGAAATAATCCCTAAACCTAGTAGAATACCGAAAATTGGAAACATCCCAACTTGCGGAATTCAAATCCGAATTTTCTAGAATTAACAATGAATTATTTAAAATTTTCCTAAAATAGCAAAAACGTCGTTTTGATGGCCTAAACGACCTCGAAACGTTTAACTCCCCTCGTCATTCCGATTCGGAAAAACTTGACCCCACACAAATTCGGCTCCGCCACCTCGCCAAAATCCATCGCACGTCATGGAGTACCTGTGAGTTTAACTCCCCTCGTCGTTCTGGTTCGGAAAAACTTGACCCCACACAATTTCGGCTCCGCCACCTCACCAAAATCCATCGCACGTCACAGCGCTGTGAGTTTAACTCCCCTCGTCATTCCGGTTCGGTAAAACTTGATTTCCACACAATTCCGGCTCCGCCACCTCGCCAAAATCCATCGCACGTCACGGCGTACCTGTGAGTTTAACTTCCCTAGTCGTTCCGGTTCGGAAAAACTTGACCCCACACAATTCCGGCCCTGTCACCTCGCCAAAATTCATCGCACATCACGGTGTACCTGTGAGTTTAACTCTCCTTGTCGTTCCAGTTCGGAAAAACTTGACCCCACACAATTCCAGTTTCGCCAGCTCGCCAAAATCCATCGCATGTCACGGCGTAGCTGTGAGTTTAACTCCCTTCGTCGTTCCGGTTCGAAAAAACTTGACCCCACACAATTCCGGCTCCACCACCTCGCCAAAATCCATCGCACGTCACAGCGTACCTATGAGTTTAACTCCCCTCTTCGTTCCGGTTCGAAAAAACTTGACTCCACACAATTCTGGCTCCGCCAGTTCTGCATCAGACAATTTCGTCCGTCACCGCCGTTGACTGCCGATCTCCGCGGTCGACTTTTATTATTTTTTTTATTTTTTTCTTCTTCCTGATTTTTTCGCCCGTTTTCGGCGTTGATTTTTTTTTTCTCTTCCTGATTTTTCCGCTACCGGTTTCCGGCGTTGACTTTTTCGAATTTTTTTTTCGTTTTTAACATCTTTTTGCCCCCCCGTTTAAACAACAATATTGTTGTGATTAACAGTAATATTAACTACATTACTGTTAAAAGTCAGTAAAATTAACTATACTACAGTTTAACACAGTAATATTGCTATATTAATCTCTATCACAGTAATATTAACACAACAAAACTCATTAGTATTGTGTAATAGAGTAATATTAATATGTTGATCGTTCAACAAAGGTAAGCATAATAAAAAGCCAAAAAAACTAATATTATTGTGAGTGACAATAATATTATTATAACAACAACATTATTATTGTATAGATTTATGGTGCAGAATCACCCAGTGCTTTTCTGCACCAGATATAGATCTTATAGACCGAGTGCGAGTTCTTCTGCCAAAACTA